AGATGTGTCTCTTCTACAGAGAAGAAAGAAAAGAGCCACATTCCAGTCCCAGCACATAGTCAGTGCTAACTGTTCTTGGTATGGCAGTTCTTATCATCACCAGGCAAAGGATTCTGCAAAGACAGCCTTGCAGTAGGTGCACCCACCCCTGCAGTCAGCATTCTCCATCTCTAGAAGGTGCATAGCTGCATCCATGGCATCCACAGGATGGAGCCCACCCTCAGGGTATGTGCTCAACCCTTTCTGTGTTGGAGATGCACCCGCAACAGTGCCCCCAAGTAACACTGGGTTCGAGGCTGTAGTTGGGCTCAAAGGAGTTTTCTTGCCATTTCCACCATCTTCAACCACACCTAAACACTCACCCCTAAGCCAGGACCTAGTTCCCTTTAAAGCCAGGCCTGTGATGACCCCAACTCTTGGGCCAAGACCGTCTTGCCAGCCCTTATCCCATCCATGTCTCCTCGAGGGCTAGTCCTCGGAGGCCAGCCTTCCTCCTTCCTCTCACTCTCAAAAGGTTCTTCTTTTCTGCTCTGCTCCCCGCCCCACCCCCCCGACCCCGTAACCGGTAGATACAGCTTCTCGGGGCTTCCTGAGGCCTTCTCGCCACTCCCAGCCTCTTTGTTTTCTCACAGCATTCCACGCTAGCTCCCACCAGCACCCCCTGGGGAACGTGGCCCCGTCTTTTTGGAATTGTGGCAAGTCTTCTGTCCCTCTGCCATGACTGTGGCTCTGTGGGTTAGAGGATAGGGCAGCTCTCCTGCCCTAGACTGCCCTGCTCTGTGCCAGGCCCATCAGGTCCATTTTACTGTGCTGGAACCACCTCAGGAGGCTGTTGTTGCCCGTTGGTAGATGAAGGAAGTGGTTTGCCAGTGCCAGAGAGGCGGGGTCATGCCTGAATGTTATGATCCTAAGCCCCTTTTTCTACTCTGCTGCCTTGGAAGAATGGGCCAGCTTTTGTCTCCTAGAAAGATCCTGGTGGGATGCTGCATATTCATACCTGGCAACAGGTCTGCCCAGGGCAGGGGTCTGCAGAGTGAGCTGTGCTGTGGACTTGGGAGCTGCCCTGTGACCATCCCTACACTTGGCCCATGGGTGCAGCTGTGCAACCCCTGGGCAGCCCATCTGTGGGAAGGAGGCTGGCTGGCTTCTCGTTTCCCTGCAGATTCTCCACTAACTCAGAGAATGACACACCCCGTTCACCTAGTTCTAAGCAGTATCCCAAAGGCACACCAGTGGGAGGAGCCCATCAATCAATCTTGGGGTTTCTTCCTCCCCGCATCCTGCACTGTCAGACTGGCCTCTGGCTGCATGAAGTAGAAACCAGGCTGCAGTGCCTTGGCAGCAGGAAGATGGGTCAGGGAGGCCACAGAGCAAGCCGCTCCTGCTGTCCTGATGCCCGGCCCCTGGTGTGGTGGTGATTGCAGACTTCACCTGGCTCCTGCCATCATTACCTGGGCCTGATGAGTCGGGTGAAGGCTGTGGAGGGTCCACAGAGTGTGGAGAAAAGGAGCGGACTCCGCAGTCAGAATCCCCGGCCTACCTTCCAGCTGGGAGACCTGAGCGAGTGACCTCGTCTTTCAGAGCTAGAGATGGCTTTCAGGGTTGGCAGGAAAGTTAGGGGAGTCCTTGGTGGTGTAAACAGTTATGCTCAGCTGCTTACCGAAAGGCTGGAGATTCAAATCCACCCAGAAGTGCTTTGGAAGGAAGAGCTGGTGATCTGCTTCCAAAAAATCAACCATGAAAACCCTGTGGAGCAGTTTTACTCTGACACACATGGGATCACCTTGAGTTGAAATCGACTTGACAGCAATGGTAGGGAGATTAGTGTGCACCGCGCACATCACAGGTGTGCGCCCACCTCACCATGAGCGGGTGTCTCATGAACCTGGACAATGACTGTCATAGTGGCATCTCCAGAACCAACTTCTTGGAGAAAAGGCTGGAGGGAAATACTCCAAAATGCTGACATGAGTGACCCCTGGGAGGCAAAGCTGTGGTGACCTTTATTTTTTTCTTTCTGCTTTCCTCAGTTTTCTAAATTTTAATCCAGTGAGCATATATTCCTTTTTTGTTTGTTATATTGTGATAAATATATACATATAACAAAACCTTTGCTAGTTCAACATTTTTTACCTGTAAACAGTTCAGTGACCCTGATTGTGTTCACCATGTTTTATAACCATCATCACCACTATCCTTATTCCACCACCATTAACAGAAGCTCAGTGCCCCTTGAGCAAAAACTGCCTCCTTCCCTCTCTCTTCCACTCCTGGTAGCCACTAATAAACTTCGGTCTGTATACATTTATTTGCCTTTTAGATATTTTACACAAGTGAGATCATAGTATTTGTCCTTCTGCGTTTCACTTATTTCACTCAGCATAATGATGTTTTCAAGGTCCATCCATGCTGTAGCATGAATCAGGACTTCATTTCTCTTTATGGCTGAGAGACTATATCCCATTATATGTATGTACCATATTTTGTTTAGCCATTCACCTGCTGATGATTGGATTGTTTCCACTTTTTGGCTATTGTGAATAGTGCTGTAATGAACATCGGTGTCCAAGTCTCTCTTTGCGTTCCTGCTTCCATTTCTTTTAGATATATATCTAGGATTGGGATTACTGGGTCATATGGTAGTTCTAGGAGCCCTAGTGGTGCAGTGAGTAAGATGGCTGCCAACCAAAAGATCGGCAGTTCGAATCCACCAGCTGCTCCTTGGAAACCCTATGGGGCAGTTCTCTGTTCTATAGGGTTGCTATGAGTCAGAATCAATGCAATGGCAATGGGTTTCTTGGTGTAATGACTGATGATGTTGAGCATCTTTTCATGTATTTGTTGCCATTTGTATTTCTTCTTGGTGAAGTATCTGTTCAAGTCCTTTGCCTATTTTTTGATTGAGTTGTTTATCTTTTTGTTGTTAAATTGTAGGGGTTGTTTTTATATTCTGGATATTAAACCCTCATCAGATATATGGTTCCCCCAAATTTTCTCCCAGTTTGTAGACTGTCTCTTCACTTTGTTGATAATGTTCTTTGAGGTACAAAAGTTTTTAATTTTGATCAAGTTCAATTTACCTATTTTGTCTTTTGCTACCCGTGCTTTTGGCATCATATCTAAGAATCCATTGTCAAAAACTAGGTCCCAAAACATTACTCCTATATTTTCCTCTAAGAGTTTTATGGTTTTAGTTCTTACATTTAGGTCATTGGTCCATCTTGAGTTATTTTTCATATATGGTGTGAGGTATGAGTATGTGAAATGGTAGTAGTACTAGCATCAGAACCTGTCTAACTTCAAGGGGGATAATGACCAGAATCAGCCCAAAGCTGATCCCTATGAGGTAGAGGTCAGATATACCTCCACTCTCCAACCTTTTTATCAATTCTGACACAAGCTGTCCTCCCCACGACACACTGTACTTCTCTGCTGGGTACGACAATCCATTGCAGTGGCCACACAGACCTCACAGACCATACTTATAGTTAAGTGGTTTACTAACAAAGTAGTAGGATACAATTCTCGATCAGGATTAGGAAGCATGTTGGTAAAGTCTGGAAGGCTCCTCTGAAGAAGAGAAGACATCCCTTCAGTGCAGGATAGCTCTCAGCTCTTCTGAGCTGTGCAAACAAGCAGGCCCTTCTCTCTGCCGTGGACACCCCCTCTTGGCTCTTTAGGCCTCCTCTAAGTCTCCTCAGGACAGGCGTCCTCAGGACAGGCCTCTCTGCCTTTGTCAGCCTCTCCACTGTTAACTGACCGAGTTCATAGCCAGAGAAGCAGTTTTGTTCAGTTCTCTTAGCTGCATTTCTAGCAGCAAGCTTCTGCTGTCACCACTGATTGTACCACAGGGCCCTTTCTGGGCCACTTGCGGTCTTCAGTGTTATAGCCCTTGGCCTGTGTTACAGCTGTTTTAGGAAGTTCCTCACCTCCTCTCTGCTGCTTCTCTCTTTCTTCCTTCTGTTTCTGACTGCCAACCTTTGTGGGGTTGGCTGCATATGTAAGCAAACTCCTGGTCAATTTCAAGGCGTAGCCCTTCCACCAGGGCCATTAGCTGACCAATCCCCTCTCAGTAGGCCACAGACACTTCATTTGCATAAGCATATTGATCAATCGCTACAAGGTGTGCAGAATAGACCAATCACAGTGCAGGCTGCAGCCCAGGCCTAGACAAAAAAGTATCAAACATCAGGTTGTTTACAGCTTACCCAGGAAATGTCCTTCAACCTGGACAAAAGTAACAAACCCTCTGGGGTAGAAAACTAGGGCAAAGGTAACTTCTCAGGATTTGAGGGGGGAAATATCTCAAGCTGTTTTCCAAAGCACCAAGGCAAAAGGCTACGTAAGGAGCTTATTTCACCACAAGGTCCAGCTTCGTTTTTTTGCAGTTGTTCCAGCGCCATTTATTAAACAGGTTGTTCTTTCCCCCCACTGAGTGGACTTAGCATTCTTGTCCAAAATCAACTTACCATGGATGTATGGGTTTATTTCTGGAACCTCACTTCTATTCCTTTGGTCTGTATGGCTGTTATACCATTACCAGGCTATTTTGATTACTGTAGCTTCTTAGTAGGTTTTGAAATCAGTGTCTGTACTCCAGCTTTATTCTTCTTCAAGAATGCTTTGACTGTTCAGGGCCATATAACAGCTAGTTCCATATAAATTTGAGTATTGGCTTTTCCATTTCTGCAAAGGCTGTTGGAATTCTGATGGGAATTGTATTCAATGTGTAGATTGCTTTAGGGAACATTGACAACAATGCTAAGCCTTCCAATCCATGAACACAGAATGTCCCTCCTTTATTTAGGTCTTCGTTAAATTTTGTTGTTGTTGATGTTTTGCAGTTTTCAGAGTACAAGTCTTTTACTTCCCTGGTTAAATGCATTCCTAGGTATTTTACTTTTTCAAATGCTATCGTAAATGGAAATATTCTTTTTATAATTTAAAAAATCACCTTTGTTCTGCTTTTCGGAGGCACTCATTGTCTGTTGTACTTTCAGTTCATGCGGGAGATGGCAGGGGCCTGGCAAATGACAGTGGAGCAAAAGTTCGGCCTGTTTTCTGTGGAGGTTAAGGAAGCAGACCCTCTGGCAGCGTCAGAAGCATGTCAGCCAAAACCCTGTCCCCCTGAAGTGACGCCCCACTACATCTGGATCGATGTACGTGCCTGAGCCACCTCCCTCCCCTGCCACGGCTCTGCTAGGCTCTGCCCCTTCCTCTGTAGGATGAGGGCTCCTCCAGGGCTGGGTGGCCTGTGGCAGGGTGTCTCCAGGCCCTAAGACTGCCTTACATGAGGACAGAGGAGACTGTCCCAGCCTTCTCCCAGCACCTCCTGCCCACCTTGCCCCACTTCCCTGGGGCCCCTGCCCACCTCTCCCTGTCCCAGGTCCCTGCTCGCCTTCCCCCCAGCGACGCATGCAGTGGGCTGCACTGAGGGGGCGGGCCTGGCTCTGGGACTGGGCTCGCGGAGCCCCATCATGGCAGCACATCCCATTCCTGCACAGTTCCTGGTGCAAAGGTTTGAGATTGCCAAGTACTGCAGCTCCGACCAAGTGGAGATCTTCTCCAGCCTCCTTCAGCGCTCCATGTCCCTGAACATCGGCGGGGCCAAGGGGAGCATGAATCGCCACGTGGCAGCCATTGGGCCCCGCTTCAAGTGAGAGCCTCTCCTTCTGGGTGCATGTGTCATGCTGTTTGGGGCACGGGGCAGACAGCGGCAGGCGGCGGTTCCTGGAGTAATGGGGAGCACGTCATCGGAAACAGCCTTGTGACTGATGTTACACCTGCACTGAGCATGTGCCCTTCCTGCTTCTGGAACCCCTCTAGCTTTCCTGCCCCAGAACCTGCCTCTGCCTTGCCCTGCCTGGGGCCTGACCTTGCCACTGTCCCTGCCTCCTCTCCACCCTCAGTGCCCCCTCACCCCCTCTGTGGTCTCGTGATGCTCTGCCCTGCCTCCCTCCTCCAGTCTCTGCTCCCCACGCTGTTTCTCTGGTGACAGCCTTTCCTCGGGGCACAGATCCTGGGGCTTCCTAGAGGACCCCCTGCTCACTGGTTTCGGGTGCAGCTCTGTCTCGATTGACAGGGATTTCCCACAGTTGGTCACTTATCCAGCAGAAATGGACCAAGCTCACAGTGCGTGCTCGGCTCCTTGGAGGGGTCTGGACAGGAATGGCCGACCCCGCCCTCCAGAGCTTGGGGCCGCAGGGCATTGTGAGGAAGCCAGGCAAGCTATGTGCAGTTTACAGGGGTGTCTAGGAAAAGGGCTGGCCATAGTCCTGGGCACTACAGAGCACTGAGGGAACAGCACTGGGACCACAAGACACCCTCCAGGGGTATCTCCTCAGTGCCACCTGGAGGTGATGTGCAGCCTGAAGTGGGCTTAGTCGGGGGGTCCGGCTCAGGAGTGAGGAAGAGGCATGAGGGGTTTGGGTCAGGAGGTCAGCGGGCATACGGCCGGAATGAACCCAGCTGGCCAGGGACTGCCTGGTGCTGAGCAGGTGGGGGTGGGGTCTCAGGTGAGCCAGGAAGGCTTCCTGGCCATGTCTGGGGAAGGTGCTTGGGTGGGAGGGTGTAGGGGGCCCGCTGGGGCCCTCAACTCCTTTGCCTGCACCCCTCCTGCTCTCCTCCTGCCCTCCTCCTGCACCCCTCCTGCCTGCAACGACACCTGTTCCTGCCCTCATGCCTTGGGCTCCAGACTACGTTCCTGCAGCCTGCTAGGCATCCCCTTAGACACTGCTCCTCAAACCAACTAGGGAAGATCTGCTCTAAATCTTTCATGGCCTGTACATTTATGAAATGCAGTGAAAATAGTCCAACACTTGACTTTCACAGCGGTGTGGCATTGCTGCAGAAATGGACAAGTGCTCACTCTTAGTCCCCCGGCTATATCCTCAGAGCCTGGTGTGCTGCCCTCACTCAAAGGTTCCCCTCACTAGGCCTAGTCAGCCTCCACTCTCCCTCACTCTCCTCATACAACCCCCCCCCACCACCCCCAGTTAGCCTCTACTCTCCCTCACTCAGCCTAGTCAGCAGCAATGTGTCTGTTGCCCTCAGTGCAGGCTCTGCAGGCTTGCCTAGTGGGGCTCTTGCTCATGTGTGTCCAGTTGCTCACTGCCCTCAGAGCGAGGGTTGCAGTATGCACCCCTGGCTGTGGGGAAGGCCTCCTTGAATATGGCTCATCACGCATGTCCCCACCCCCTGTGCTCAGCCCAGCTTGCCTGACCATCCGCAAAGATCCACTTAGCCCAGCTGACACCTCCCCACCCCCTGCCCCTTGAACCCTACAGCTTCCCCTTCGCCCTACCCCTACCCCCCACCCCCTGCACCACCCTGTTTCTGCCGGACAAGAAACTGTTCATCCCTTAGGGCCCCCCTCACCTCCAAGCCTCTCCAGACCTCTCAACAGCAGGGCCCATCCTTCTGGGAACACCCCATTGGAACCTGTGGGATTGAGCATGGCTTTTTACTATATCAGTATTTCTCCCTCTCACCTCCAGTATGAGATCCCTATGGGCAGCTCCCTCAGCTGCCCCTCCCAGCATCCTGCTCAGTACCTGTCTTGGCAGAAACCAGGCATGCGGTTGTTTTTCATTTTTTAACTTGTATTAAATATTCCACTTTCATAGCAACTGTGGGAGTAGTTTGTGGATCATTTATTTGACTGACGTTTCTGGCCAAGGCAGAGCATCTCACAAATTGTTCATTTTCTCCCAAACAAAAGTGAAGGCTTTAAAGAACCTTTGCTGAGACTTTGTGGTAAAATAAATATGTAAGTAGTAATCACCTGGCAGGTGTCCAGTCCTAGCTACCCAGAGCCCTGGCATCTGGGTGGGAGATCCAGGTCCAGTCCCTCAGCGGGGAGAGGGACGAGCACAGGTCAGCTCAGCCTGACAGCCTCACACCTCTTGCAGGCTGTTGACCCTGGGGCTGGCTCTTCTGCATGCCGATGTGGTCCCCAATGCGACTATTCGCAACGTGCTCCGGGAGAAGATCTACTCAACTGCCTTTGACTACTTCAGGTACTGCCCCAGGTGTCTGTACAGCTTACTGGGACAGCCCGCCCCCTACTCTCGCAGTGGTCCTGGCCTCTGGTCATCCTTCCCAGGAGGACACGCCTGGTATACATCTCAGACTCCCCCTCAGCAGCCCAGGGTCTGCATCTTCTCAGCTCTGTGCGTGTGCCTAAGCTCACCCCCCACTCCGTTCAGTTGATTTAAGAGGTGAAGTCATCCCACTCAGCCTTCCTGTTGACATGAATGATGATGCACATGGAATTGGAACTGCAGTCTCCGGACTTTGCAGATGTCAGCTCTGTCGCTCTGTGCAGTGAACCATGTTGTGTGCGCCACCAGCACAGCCTGCCCTCAGCAGAACATGGTTGGCCTTGCTGAGGATGATGGTGAAGGTGGGAACGAGAGGGCTCTGAAAGTTACTGCACATCCCCGGGTGAATCACTGCTGTCATTGTTGATAGTGACCCAGCTCAGGCTCACCTCTGTCACTGAGAGACCTCTCATCACTTAGTGATATAACAGCTTCTAGTCCCTGATTCCAGATACTCACACTTTCCTCTGGGTTTTTTTTAGTTGTCCCCCCAAGTTCCCGACTCAAGGAGAGAAGAGACTACGTGAAGATATCATCATCATGATTAAGTTTTGGATGGCCATGTTCTCAGATAAGAAGTACCTCACTGCCAGCCAGCTCGTTCCCCCAGGTGAGCGTTGTTCTCAGCAGGCAGCCACTCACGGGGGCGGGAGGCATGTAGGGCATAGGTGTGAGGTGGGCCCCCAAGGAGCTAGGCAGAAGAGCAGTTAGGTCTCAGCCAACCCTGACCCTGACCATGCCTGGGTGCTTCTTCTCCCCTGGAGTCCAGGACCTGGTCCCATCAATTAAGCCCGAGCTGAGAACCATGAGTGAGCCCGGGAGGCATCCAAGTGGACACTGTGCCACATGGGCTTCTGTGACAGCTTCTCCCAGAGCATCCACCAGATGGCTAACAGGCCAGGTATTGGGCTAAAGGCTGGTGAAGAAGGCATGTTTGTTAGTCTGGTGGGCAGACAACCAAATCGACAGGTAATTTCAGTGTGAAGGCCCTGTGGAGGCACCACTCAGGGACAGGCCCAGACAGTTCATAGCTCTCTGGAAGACATGACATGGGTGCCAAGCCTCAGAAGGTGAATAGGAGGTAGCCAGGATGGCAGGCAGAGAGCCTTCCAGACAGAGAGGACACCAGAAGAAGACCCTGTAGTTTCAGCAGCTTGTGCAGCAATGCCTCCAAAGGAAGCAGTATTCTTGTTTTTCTGAACGTGTAGCAGATTTGGTGGTAGTGTCACCAGCCATTGAGTTGGCCCCTGACTCATGGTGACCGCATGCACAGTGAAATGCAATGCCGACCAGTCCTGTGCCTTCCCTATAATCGGTTGCACATCGGACTGTTTTCATTGGCTGATTTTCAGATGTAGACCACCAGGCCTTTCTTCCTAGTCTGTCTTAGTCTGGAAGCTCCACTGAAACCTGTTCAGCATCACAGCAACACACAGACCTCCACTGACAGACGGGTGGTGACTGTACATGAGGTGCATTGGACGGGAATTGAACCCAGGTCTCTCACATGGAAGGCAAGAATTCTACCAACGTCCCCCAGCATAGCAGATTACAAACCACAAATTAGAGATGGATTTCCACAGGCCAGCCCGCAGCTGACAACCTGACTACCAGGAGAAGGAGAGAAACATTAAAAAGCAGACCCAGCAGTTTTATAAGCCAGCTTTCTGAATGGGGCAAACAGCCCTTATGTGGCCTGTAACTCCCACATTATCACTATGTGAAAGGACAGTGGAATGTTGATCAGATAAGGACCATAATTCATCAAGAAAAGGAATATTTTTATTTGTTTTACTCTACTTTAAAGGCAAGGAGGAATATAATAAATTTAGAAAGCTTTCCACCTCAAATGGTTAAAATAACTTCTCGGATGTCTGGAAAACTCACTATCCCAGAGGGTTTTTCCGCAAAGCTGTCAGCAGTTGTGTCTTCTCTCCCCAGCCTTTTGCATGCAGATCTATTGAAAGTTCTCTGCCTGAGTCCTTTGCTCTAGAAAGCACCTGGTCTACCGCTGACCTCCTGGTCTTTGGCGAAAATTCAGTTTACTTTTGTGATGCTCTTGCTTGAGCTGCTCATTCCAGAATCAATGATGTCTTTGTCACAGATAACCAAGACACGCGGAGCAACCTGGACATAACAGTTGGCTCTCGACAGCAGGCCACGCAAGGCTGGATCAACACGTACCCATTGTCCAGTGGCATGTCCACCATCTCCAAGAAGTCAGGTTGGTGGGCGCTTTGCTGACATACTCTGTCCATCACATCTGTGTCACTGTCCCAGCACCCTGACTGGGTGCTTGTTCAGATGGTGGGACAGAGAGTGTGCTGAAAGTCAGTTTCTTCTGGATTCTAGAAACAAAGGGTGGGTAGGAGGTTCTGAGGAATACACTTGTGCTTTCTCTTTCCTCCCAAGGGATGTCTAAGAAGACCAACCGGGGCTCCCAGCTGCACAAGTACTACATGAAGCGCAGGACGCTGCTGCTGTCCCTGCTGGTGAGTCCCAGGGCAGGCCCCCACCCCCGCCGCACCCCACCACCACACACCAACACTGCACCCGGGGATCAACACCTGGATGTTTTGTGATCTTACCAGGCCACCGAGATTGAACGCCTCATCACGTGGTACAACCCACTGTCAGCACCAGAGCTGGAGCTGGACCAGGCAGGGGAGAACAGCGTGGCCAATTGGAGGTCCAAATACATTGGCCTGAGTGAGAAGCAGTGGAAAGACAACGTGAACCTCGCCTGGAGCATCTCTCCTTACCTGGCCGTGCAGCTGCCAGCTAGGTGGGCCCCAGGTCACACCTGCCTGATGAGGGCCCTGCCCGGTCACAGCTCAGGGGGGTTGCTACCAGGGATGGCAGGGAGCACTCTCATGGGCAGTTCTCTGCCCTGGGACACCCGTCCAGCAGTGTTCTGTGCAGCAGTCACAGTAACGCCATGATTTTTTCATGCTCCTAGCTGGGTGCCAGAGCCCAAGAAGCCATGTCAGGGTGGATCAGGGCTGTGGTCTCATTCATGGGGCAGGGACATGTGAAAGCCATTGCTCCCTGGATGGTGGGCCTGGGCTTGTCCTGGGTGCCAACTATCAGCAGCAGGCACTTGGAGGAAGGCATGCTTCAGCTGCCAGCTGAGCCTCATGAGCTCCACTTTGGTGGCTCTCATGGGACAGAGGTCTTAGACTGATGGGAGTTGAAAGGGACTCCAGACACACACCCCCTTGCAGAAATTCCACCGGACAGTCCCCGGGCCCCCATGCGTGTTTCCAGGGTGGACGTTTCCTCGTGCTGAGCCCAAACGTGCCTATTTACAGCCCCCACCTCTGGTCCTGATTCTGTCCACTCTTGATTCTGGAGCAGGACTAGAGCCTGGTTCTCCTGCGGTGTTAGCCAGGGTTGGTGACCTTGAGCTGAAGTGTCCATGCCCACCCTCCCCTGGGAGGGCCCAGCGTGGAGGGGCTGCTTAGAGGACCAAAGTGAGGGGGGTTGTGTGGAGGAGGGGAGACAATGTCAGGACTGAAAAAGGAGGCCTTCCTCAAACAGTGAGTGAGGGTAATTCCTGCTTGAGGTACTATTGGTGTTTCCTCATAGCTGATCACAGTGCTATTTCAAACACTCATGTTCAGATTTATCAGTATACCAATAGCGTAGAACATCTAGACAACACTTGATACTGACCCGAATCCCTCCAGCTCAGTGCTGTCCTTGGGCTCCTTCCTCTTTGGAGGTAGAGAGCCTGAGTCTGCAGGCAAGGCCCCTTACCACCCTGCTGTGTGCCACAGGTTTAAGAACACGGAAGCCATCGGTAACGAGGTGACCCGTCTGGTCCGCTTGGACCCAGGAGCTGTTAGTGATGTCCCTGAAGCTATCAAGGTAGCGTGGCGCACCTACGGGGTCTGAGTAAAACTACCAAGCTGCACGCAGATAGCCTGGAGACCAGGATGTGCCAGAAATGGAGGGGTTGCCTCAATGTGAGGCTGAGTTTTCTTTCTCTCTGATTTTCTATTTTCCACTCCTAGTACAAAGCATATATTACATCTACAATCTATAGAGTTTTCATTGGCTGATTTTTGGGAGAAGATCTCCAGAGCTTTCCTCCTAGTCTTTCTTAGACTGGAATCTCCCCTGAGACCTGTCCATGGGTAACCTCACTGGTATTTGAAATACCAGTGGCATAGCTTCCAGCATCACAGCAACACGCAAGCCACTGCAGTACGACAAACTGACAGATGAGTGATGGGTCATAAGGATGGCACAGGCCCAGGCAACATTTTATTGTACATAAGGTCACCATGAGTTGGAGCCAACTCAATGGCAGCTAAGTACAATGTCGCATTTACAATAGAAAAAAAATTAAGATATTTCAACCTAATTGCAGCTGTGTTGTTCTATATAACCTATCAGAAACATTTTCCCAGGTTGTTTAAGCGCTTCATAAGCATGACTTTCGTGGCTGTGCAACATCTGCTGTTCACATGCCCATCCTTGCGATGCTGGGTGCGGGCCCGGCGTTTTCGCCTGACGTCAGCCATCTCCCCATTCTGCTCCCAGTTCCTGGTCACCTGGCACACCATCGATGCTGACGCGCCAGAGCTCAGCCATGTGCTCTGCTGGGCACCCACGGACCCGCCCACCGGCCTCTCCTACTTCTCCAGCATGTACCCGCCGCACCCACTCACCGCACAGTATGGGGTCAAGGTCCTGCGGTCGTTCCCTCCGGTGAGCACCAGCCCTGCCCGGGTCTGCCCTGGTGGGACTGTGCGAAGAAGGTGCTAGTGGGGAGAGTAAAGACAGGGTCTTCTCACAATTCAGGACTGTTAACCTAACCAAACATCAGTCCATCTTACATTTTTGTTCAGGTTGTTGTACACAATAGATTCAACTCTAGTTCAAGGGCATTCCATAGGTGTATTTGTTTTTTAACCTTAATTAGGAGTTGAGTTGAAAAAGACAGTTGGCTGGAGTTTGGTCTAGGTGTAGCAAGTGCCTTATACCCTGACAGTTAACTCTCACAGAGGCGCAGGAGGACAGTGTCTGTGTAAGTCTGATTCGTTTCAGCCCAGGCACAGGCTCTGCTGTCATTCTCAGCTTTTGTCTTTGAGGCGGCTCCACAGTAACGAGCCCGAGAGGGCCCTTCTCTGCCTCCCTGTGGGCACGCGAGCCTTATTATTTCAGGTCTTCTCGTGTCTCAAGCTACTGGTAGCTCATTGCCATCCCTTGGGCTGCTCCAGCTCTCATCCTGCCCTGGTGCTCTGACAAGAATGGTGGAGGCGGTGGGGAGCTGAGCGAAGCAGGGATGGTCACTTTTGGGATGGGACACTTGGGGTTCCCCTTTGCCGAATGGTTCTGACCTACTGGTGAGGCACTGTCCTCGCTGCAGAGCTCATGGCTGCTTCCCTCCCTCCTTGCAGGACGCCATCCTGTTCTACATTCCACAGATCGTGCAGGCCCTCAGGTACGACAAGGTAAGGCTGCTGCTGGCACCTGCTGCCTTCCCTCCCTTTACCGTGAGCACTGTGGTGCAGGCTGGGGACAGAGCCTCAGCCACAGTGACAGCCCAGCCCAGTGAGCAGACAGTTCCTGGCCCCCATGGGGTCTGCAGGTGAGCTTCTGTCATACCCTCTATGACCCCACGGTCCCCAGTGCCTAGGGTCTGACATGCCCTCTGTGATCCCCATGGTCCCCAGTGCCCGGGGTCTGACACTCCTGAGGTCCAGTGGTCACGAGTGCCCACGGCAGAGGCGGCCCCTACCTACTCACCACTCTCCTGAGGTCTCTTACTGCCTTCTGCCTCCAGGAGTGACCCTTCTCAGGCTCGTGTCTGAGGACCCACCTCATTCTCCCCCTGTGCAGTGTAAGCATGTTCTGAGGGTTGCTGGCCCCGCTCAGGGAGGGCAGACTCATCAGATGGACAGTCTTCACAGGTCACTGAGCTCCGTGACATCCAGCCCCCTCATCTCTCATGGGGATTAGACAAAATGACGTTCATAGAGGGCCTGGCACAGGAAGCACCCACAGGGAGTGGTCTTGAGAAGGTGCTCATGGCTCATCCTGGCGCTGCCCACTGTTGTCCCAAGTCAGCACCTGCCCTCATCCCTGACCCTGCTGGTGCTGTGCCCACCACCCAAGACCAGCCTGGTTTCCCAAATCCTCTCTGTATCCTGCCTGAGCCTCCCCAGCCCACCTGTGGACTGGCTCTTGCTCTCCCATTTGTCGTAGCAGCCTTGGTTGGTGTCACAGGGCTGGCTGCTTTCTTGCAGTCGGCACGGTTCTCCTTCTAAGGTCTGTAGCCCAAAGAGCTTCTGGAACAGTCACCAACCTCTCTTGAAAGACTGAGTCCCGTGGCACTGTTTACTGTCCTAACTAGATAGCTGCCAAATTCCCTCCCACTCTGATACCGTGGAGAACCACACACAGCAAGCTGCGGCCTCACACGGGTCCCAGCTCTCAGGTACTATCGGATCGCACCTTTTCTCAGGTGTCCGTTTCCCCTTCCCCTTCTCTCTGGGCCCAGCATCAGTCTTCCTTTGCTTGTTGTTTCTTTCCATCTGGGCCTACAAAAGGGACTAGTCCAGAAGGGAAGAGGAGCAGGCTTGAGGAGAGAGTACCAGGGTCTCCATACGAACACCACAGGTGGCCATCAGAGAACAGCCCGTGCTTCCTGGGTGATACGCTCGGTGGGCTGCATTTAGCACGTGGAGACAGAGGCAGGCTACGATTTCTTCCTGCTGCCTTGTTAGAGGAGGGCTTTTATTTGGCTAGCAGTTTACTTAAGCTGCTTTTTTTAAAATTCTCTTTATTTTTCTAATTTTCAAAATAATGAGATAATTACTTAGCATTATCCAAAGGTGACCAATGGGTTTTTCTTTTTTTTAATATCATTATGAACTAATTAATTTTAACATATTTGATGTGTATCAGTCCACTATAGTTATTAATATTTTTGATGTTCGTATTACCCCATCTCCCTGACCATTGGAAACCCCTTCAGATTGTCTCCTGTGTCCTTTATACACACTCAGTAGTCTTTGAGAGCTTCCTTGCTTTCCAGAATGACAGGGTATAGACTCCTCTTGTTCTTTTCCTGTCTCAGACCTGGAATCAACTAGTTTTCCAAGGAGCCCTGGTTCATTTCAGTGAGAAATGGTATTTAGAGACCATAATCTGAAAGCTAAGTGTGCTTACTGCTGCTGAGTTGGTCATTGTTTATGGGCCTTGCAGGTAGATAGAGCTAGAAACTTTTTACTTTTTTTAAGAAAAATCCCATCATGAGATTTTATTGATATTTCCAATTCAAATGTAGGATTACAGGGATTTTTACTTTATGTTTGAAATTATTCTTTTAACACTAAAAAGTGTTAGTTTCTAACAATGTTAACATAATTACTTTTTTGCTTTATCTTACTATGTATTTAATAATTTCAAAATAACAGTAAAATATTGTTACTGATGATATGATTACTGAAAACTGTTTCAGGTTTCTTAGCCTTTCCTTTTGTCTTCGGTCCATTTTTCACTGGGGACATACAATCACATGGCTGTATTGTGACGGCATTTGGTCTCTGTGTGGTTAAACCACCAGCTCAGGGCTCTGCTGCATTTCTCCCTTTTTTGTTTTTCATTATTAGAGTTTTTTGTTTGTTTGTTTGTTTTTAATCTAAGCTTGGGGGAATACAAATTTATATACATATCTGTGTGTGTGTGTGTGTGTGTGTGTGTGTGTGTGTGTTAAACTAAAACTATTAAAATGGCCAGGGGAGGTAAAAAATAGAATGGAAGTGACAGGAATGGAAATTAAACTTCTCCAAATGTACCATGTTTAATAATTTTGGCTTTGGAACTGTGTAAATATTTTGCAAAATTATATTTAAAAGCATTACAAGTTGAATAGTGATAGTTGATCATTAGATCCATTTTGCTGGGTTAGAATTGAGAGACCCATTAAAAAAAAAACCTGTTGCCATCAAGTCGATTCCAAATGATGGTAACCCCATGTGTTACAGAGTAGAATACTCCATAGGGTCTTCTTGGCTATAATCTTTAGGGAAGCAGATCACCAGGCCTTTCTTCCATGGTGCCACTGGATGGGTTTGAACTGCTAACTTTTAGGTTATTAGTTAAGCTCAAACCATTTGTGCCACCCAGGGACCTCAATAGACCCACAGCAACAAGTAGTTTGAAGTACTGCCTGTGTGGTAAGCACATCCAGCCAGTGGAGAACATCTGTCCACAAAATACTATAGATAGGGAGGGAGATGCCTCTCCTCTAGGGGTCTTTCAAGAAATGGTCCTATGCTAGTTTCCCAAAACCCTTCATAACCTAGGACATGGTGACTAAAACTGATATCACTCATATGAATGGCAGAAAATGACCGAGAAGCGGGGGAGGAGCATTAGATAGTTTTCTGGAACCTGTCTGTCACTTTGGAACATTTTTCTAAACAATCAGCTTACAAATGAGTTTTTAATACCCAGTTTCTCATTTCTTGGGTTTGACAAAAGCTGAAATTGGTTGGAGTGTCATGGTTCTTAAAATCTAGGAGAAGAAAGAAGAGCAGACTAAAGCTGACTCGCACCTATACCACAGACCACACCCACCTACTTCAGTTCATGGGCTAGTGGGATTTAGCGTGGCCCCTGGGCTTGGTGGAGCCCTGGTGGCACAGTGGTTAAGAGCTCACCTGCTAACCAAAAGGTCGGCAGTTCAGATCCATCAGCTGCTTCTTGGAAACCCTATAGGGCAGTTCTGCTCTGTCCTGTAGGGTCGCTGTGAGTTGGAATCAACTCAATGGCAACAGGTTTTTGGTTTTTCTGGTTTTAGGTTTTTCTGGGCTTGGCTCACCTCAGGTCCCACAGAGGTTTCCCACAGGCAGAAACCCCTCAGCTTCATTTCTCACTGGGTTTGCCAAGCATTGGGGGTTAGCTGCTACACTGGGTTAGAAAGTGGAGATGCCGAGCCTGGCTGATGGCCTTGCATTCTTACAGATGGGCTACGTGCGGGAGTACATCCTGTGGGCAGCATCCAGATCCCAGCTGCTGGCCCACCAGTTCATCTGGAACATGAAAACTAACATTTATCTGGATGAAGAGGGGCACCAGAAGGATCGTGAGTATCTTGTTGGTTTGCCTGCGGATGTTACCCCAGGTCCCAGCCCCATCTCTGGCACCTTCTTCAGCCCCTGGCAGCCTTTCATGACCTGGGCTGCCCCAGCGTACAGTTGCCTCTACTTGCTGTCCCAGCCAAAGTGAGGAAAAGCTCTCCTCTTAAGATGCAGGGAGGCAGGGTCTTCTCCTTCATGAAGCCTCTCCTGAACCACCCTGCCCCCTCCCCTGCTTGGCGCCATCCTGCAGCTTCCTCGGGTGATGCCACTGGCTGGGGCTAAGCTGCTTCTCCCTTCAGAGATCGAGTCAACTCACCAGTCTGTCCCTGGGCTGGACACAGGCTGTAGATGACATGGGGTGCGAGATGGTCAGTCCAGGCAGTGCTCTTCAAACTGTGTGTCATGACAGGACCCCTTCATATACCTGAAAGTGACTGAGACTGTATCAGAAATATTGAGGCCAGTATTAGAAATGAAAACTGAGAATTTTTTAAAACATAAACATCGCATGTTAACGTATTTTTATTTAAAATGACTGTTTTCCAAAACAAAAACACAGGTGAAAAGAGCAGAGTTATTTCACATTCTTGCAAATCTCATTTATGTCTGGCTGCATAGGTGACAGCTGGATTCTCCTCCTGCTTCTGCATTTAATCTGTTGCAGGATGTTCTTTTGGTGAAATAGGTGAGGGAAATACAGTCTCGCATAGATACATAGCTGGAAAGAATTTTTTTTTTTTTTAATTGTACTTCAGGTGAAGGCTTACAGAACAAATAGTTTCTCATGAAACAGTAGTACACATATTGTTTTATGACA